ATCCCACTTGACCATGGTGTAAAATCTTTTTAATGTATTGCTAAATTCAGTTTGCTAATATTTTGTTGAGGATTTTTGCATCTCTGTTGATTAGGGATCTCACCCTATAATTTTCTTTTTTTGTCATGTCTTTGCCTGGCTTTGGAATCAGGATAATGGTGCCCATTAAATGAGGTTGGAAGCCATCTATCCTCTTGAATTTTTGAAATAGTTTGAGAAGGCTAGGTGTTTATTCTTTGAATATTAGGTAAAATTCACCTGTAAGGCCATCTGGTCCAGGATTTTTCTTTGTTGGGAGTTTTTCGATTACTGACTCTATTTCGTTAGTAATAATTGGTCTGTTCAGATTATCTGTTCTTGATTTAGTCTTGGAAGAACGTGTGTTTCGAGGAAATTTATCCATTTCTTCTAGATTGTCTAATTTTTTCATAGTATTTTCTTATATCCCTTTCCTTTGTATTTTTGTGCTGTCAGTTGTCACTTCTCTTTCATTTCTGATTTTATTTATTTGGGTCCTCTTTTTTTCTTGGTGAGTGATTAAAAGTTTATCAGTTTTGTTTATCTTTCAGACAACCAGCACTTGGTTTCATTGATCTCTTGTATTGTTGTTTTTTTTTTTTAATTCTACTTCATTTATTTTCACTCTGATCTATATTATTTTTTCTTTCTACTAACTTTGGGCTTTTTTTTCTTTTTCTAGTTCCTTTCGGTGTAAGGTTAGATTGTTTATGTGAGATTTTTCTTGTTTCTTGAGGTAGGCCTGTATTGCTGTTAGTTTCCTTCGTAGGACTGTTTTGCTGTGTTCCATAAATTTGGGGTGATTGTGTTTTCGTTTTCATTTGTCTCAAGATATCTTTTGATTTATTACTTGATCTAATTGTTAACCCATTTATTGTTCAGTAGCATGTTATTTAGCTTCCACATGTTTTGTGTTTTTCAGTTTTTTTCTTGTAATAGATTTGTAGTTTCATACCATTGTGGTCAGAGAAGATGCTTGGGATGGTTTCAGTTTTCTTAATGTATTGAGACTTGTTTCGTGCCCTAACATGTGATTTATTTTGGGAAATGTTTCATGTGCACTTGAAAAAAATGTATATTCTGCTCTGAAAATATCGAATTCATTTGAAAGAATGTGTCATTTATGGCCACTTCTTGATTTTTTCTTGTTGATTTTCTGTCTGGAAGATCTATCCCATGATGTCAGGGTTAAAGCCCCCTGCCATGACTGTATTGCTGTCAATCTGTCTGGTTAATATTTGCTTTCTGTATTTAGGTGTTCCTATGTTGGGTGCATACATGTTTACAAGGGTTATATCCTCTTGTTGGATTGATTTTTTTATCCTTATGTAATGACCTTTTTGTCTCTTATAGCCTTTATTCCAAAGTCTATTTTGTCTAAGTATTGCTACCCCAGATTTTTTTCATTTTCACTTGCATGAAATATCTTTTTCCATCCCTTTACTTTCAGTCTGTGTGTATCTTTTGATTTGAAGTAGGTGTCTTGTAGACAGCATATGTATGGACCTTGTTTTCTTATCCACTCAGTTACTTATATTTTTTTATTGGAGCATTTAATCATTTACATTTAAAGTGATTACTGATAGGTACATAGTTATTGCCATTTTATTATTCATATTTATGTTCTGTTGTTGTTTTCCCCCTTCTTTTTAAAGAACTCCCTTTAACATTTCTTTATACTGGTTTGGTGGTGATGAATTCCTTTAGCTTTTTCTTGTCTATGAAGCTCTTTATCTCTAATTTAATTTAATTTTTTTCCCTTTAATTTTAAATGATAGTCCTGCTGGGTAGAGTAGTCTTGGTTGTAGGTCTTAGCTTTTCGTCACTTTGAATATTTCCTGTCAATCCCTTCTGGCCTGTAAAGTTTTTGTTGAGAAATCAGTTGACAGTCTTATGGGGGTTTCTGTAGGTAACAAACTGCCTTTCTCTTGATGCTTTTAGGATTCTCTATTTGTCCTTAATCTTTGGCATTTTAATTATAATGTTTCTTCTTGTGGGCTTCTTTTGGTTCATCTTGTTTAGGACTTTCTGCACTTCCTGGGCTGATATGTCTATTTCCTTCTCCATGTTAGGAAAGTTTTCAGTCATTTTTTCAAATGGGTTTTCAATTCCTTGCTCTCTCACTTCTTCTTCTGGTACCCCTGTAATGCAAATGTTGGTTCGTTTGATGTTGGCCCAGAAGTCCCTTAAACTAGCTTCATTTGGGGGGGATTCTTTTTTCTTTTCATTGCTCTGATTGGGTGTTTTCTGCTACCTTCTCTGCCAAATTTTTGATTCGATCCTCTGCTTCCTCTAAACTGCTGTTGATTCCATCTGATTTAGTCTTCATTTCAGTTATTGTATTACTCATTTTTTTTAATGTTTTCTATTTTCTTTTTAATGTTTCCTATCTTTTTGTTGAAGTTCTCACTTAGGTAATCTGTTTTTCCCCAACATTTATTGAGCATCCTTATAATCCGTGTTTTGAATTCTGCATCTGGTAGATTACTTCCCTCCATTTCATTTAGTTCTTTTTCCGGAGTTTTGTTCTGTTCTTTCATTTGAGGCATGTTGCTTTGTCTCCTCCTTTTGGTTACCTCCCTGTTTTTGTTTCTATATATTAAGTAGAGTTGCTATGTCTCCTAGTTTTGGCAGAGTGGCTTTATGAAATAGGTATCCTGTTTAATTCCTCTCTTTTCAGTACAGCATTGTTGTCCTTGGTCATACCAAACGTACCTTAGCCAAAAGACCCTTTGGTTTGGTCTGCTCAGAAAAGAAATCTCAGATTTTTCTACTTGGATTGGGTTTTGGACAAGGGCAGTGACATGGTTGATCAGAACTGCAGAACAATAACTGTAGATTTTTAACAGTCTTTTAAGAAATCCTTGTGTTTACATCTACCCCATTCTGTTTACCACAGGTACTGGTGCCACCAGTTTCCAGGCTTTGAGGGACTCTTCATTGTAAATCGGGTTGCCTCTCAGCTTTTTATACTTTACCCTTCAGATTGAGATTTTTAGATCTACTGAGTCATTTACCACTCACCCATTTGCTTCCAGCTTCTGAAATTTTGTTGTTTTTGCCTCTTTTCTTGGTTTTCTCATTCATGTAAATTTGTGTGTTGGTGTGTTTTAAGTGCTGTTTTAAGGAGGAGTGTATCGAATGGGTGTGATCAATACACCATCTATACCTGGAGGTTATTAGCTATAATTGTTAGGAAATTATAACTTGCCACAAGCTAGTATTCTTTTTCTCTATAGCTTCACCAGCTAGTTCTAGTTTTGTCTACAAGAGCCACACAAATAAACTTTAGAAAATTGAAGACAACCACTTAGTCCCTTCCTAGGCTTTTCTTCAAGCCAAACATTTCTCAGTTTTTTCAACAGTATTACTTTCTCCATCTTGAGTTGATTCACAAAGACTTATTTTTATAGGAGAATTTCTGTTCATATTCTTTGTAAATGCATTAAACTCCTCTATCATTTATATTAATAAAAATTAGGAATCAGTTAAATATGTTCAGATGACATCCCATTTAAGCCTCAGTAGTTTGGAGGTCTTGAATTTAGATTTAGGTCCAGCATCACCCTTTCCTTTTTAACTTTCTAGACAACTTTTTACTCTAAGAACCATCATCACAAGAGCTTAGTTTAATTTTGAACTTTTCACTGAGCTGATTCATACCATAGCACTTTTCACTTTTGTAGACTATCCTCTTTTCTATGTAAGGATGATGATTTTGTCTATATTTATCTTTACTGCTTCAGTCAAACCTAAAATAGCAAAGAACAAGAAAAAAATTGTAGGAAAAAAGTGCAAGGTAGTTATTTTGTGATTTCCCATAAATGATGTCAATGGTCAAATGTTTGACAATATGAAAATGTCTTTTAGAAACCATCTTAGAATGCAGATGTTTGAAATTAAGCTTTTTGTTTGAGTTGTATGTTCATGTTTTGTTACCACGTGCTTTTCATTTTTAGGATATACAGATATATTTTGCTGTATTTTGTTTTTTAATCTTGCTAGGCCTTCTTTTTGACTGGCCAGGATATCTATTCTCCTGCCCTTTAGGGATTAGCAGTGTACTGGTATGGAAGAAGCACTAGGCTAGCAGAACTATTTTCGTCCATTTTTAGTCAATATGTGTGACCTTTTGCAAGTTATTTTCTTTCTCCAGTCCCTTATTTCTTCATCAATACATCAGAGAAATTGGACAAGAAAATCTTATAAGATCCCCTTCTAGTACTCATTCCTTTATTTTAGGAATATAAGAAGTGCTACTCCATACAGGAATGGCCAGCCTCTTTTTACCTACGTAGATACCTCTCTGCTTTGACTCTCCTACTCTACATTGCTTATAGAATGTGCTTGGCATTTAACATAAACTACCTCACAGCATTATTGAATTGTTTCTTGTATATATGTCCCACCTCACAAATATCAAAGACTGTGTCTTCTGTGATATGTTTCCTATCCAATACTATGAATATACAGGGTCTTTTTTTCTTTGCAAAGGCATTGGACTTTTCCATATTATGGCTCTGTCTTCATTTAATGAACCCCCTGTGGATGGTTATTTAGGTTGTTTTTGGTTTTTCCCTATTACAATCAATACTTTAATGAGTGTCTGTGTATATGTCTTTGCCTCTCATAAGAGTATGCCTTTGGGTTAATTCCTAGAAGAATTACCCTGTCAAAAGTAGGTATTTTTTTCTAACATCTATTGCCGAAATTGAAAGATAAAAGCCAGTCTGCGTGCCAGTTCTTGTTATGTAACCTTAGAATGAGTTACTTGACCTCTTCAAGCTTCTATTCACATGTATGTAAGTGAAGAGAAGTGTAGTATTTTACCTCACACACTGTAGTCAAATTCTGGCTATCATATCACTGGTGTATAGAAAACATTCACCAAATAATGATTCCCTTTTTCCTTAATCTGTAACAAAATGTATCACTGGTTATAGAAATATACCTTACCTTTTTTTCTTTTTCTTTTTTTTCAGCTATGACTCAATACCTGAGATAAAGGAAATCGGCTTTTGAAAAATAAGAGAACTTTTTTCTTTTGGTTGGATTCTTCAACACAGCCAATGAAAACAAAGCATTGTATTTCTTTTCACTGATATATCTGTTGTTCTGAAGAATGACAGACAATCCTAGACTTCCACCATAAGCAGAGTGACATGTAGGCATTTGCTGCACATGATGTTCGCACAGTGAAAGTCATAAAGAGACAAGTGGTATTGTTTACATTACTAGAAAATTAGTTGTTTTTCAGTGGCAATAACCCATTTATTAGAGAGTTATAGTCCACTGGAATAGGCAGGGACCACATACTGTGGGAGGCAGATAAATAAATGTAGAGCTGATATTTGCTGGACATTCTGTAGCAGTAACCCACCTTTAACAGCATAAAGCAGGTACCAGAAATGCTTTGTTTTGGCCTCTTAAAACTAACAGGGGAGTCAGCCCCTCCAAAAGCTAGGCAGCTCAGAGTGGCAGTGTGGTGCTAGCCAGTCGTTTTTCTTCAGTGGAACAGGGTGAAGGCTCATTGCATAGTGTTCCTTCACAAGACATTAATTTAAAAGGAAGCTGACAGGTCATGGGTCAAGTCTCAGTGACATTGTCCTTCCTTTTGATGACAGTATACAATTTTCACATTTTAATTGCTCCTGAGATACAGTACACTTAAAGCCAGTCTATCCCCTGCTAACTAAAGAGTGAATATCCTTTCTTTTAAGCATTAGGACTTGCTCCTCTGGAATTCTGTGCTCCAGGTTATTTAACTTTCCCTTCAGGATACATGTGGAAAGGAATAAACAACAGTCACTCCAGTGTTGCCCCTGTGGTATCTTGAACAAAATGTTTATTCCTAGATTATATGATTTTTTTAAGAAGGTGGGCAGGCACGGGTTGGGGAGAGGAAAAGCACTCAATTTTGACTGCCTCCTCTTTCTTTACTGTGAGCTGGGAAGTGTGCTGTTGGTGGCCTTTATTCTTTCTGTCTTTAGGACAGTAAGAGACTCCCTCATCTCACTTAAACTCAGTTGGCTTCTGGGTCTGAACTGCACTGCTTCAGCAAGGCTACCCTATTGGTGAACACACTCCACTGGCCAGGCGGTGCCAATGCTTTGACTGTTTTAAGAGAAAGAACATTCTCTTGGGCGTTACTGCTTTTGCTCAGACGTTGCAAAAAAAAGTATATAAATATATAAATATATAATTATTAATCACTTCTGTCCTTGAGAAAGTCTTGAATAAATAGAAAATTTATTCCATTGCAATATTTGATTATATAGAGGCACACTGTTTCATCAACAGAAGAAACAAAAAGGCTGTGTATAAGTTTTTGGTACTATGTACCACCTCTGTTATTCTTCTAAAACTGAAGTATTCATGTACTTAAACCGTATTCTATTTAATTGTGTTTGATTTAAAATATATATATATATATATGAATTATATTTAAAATTGTGTCAACTTTCTGCTTTCAGGGCATTTATGGCTCTTCTATTAAAATGTATTGATTCTTTCAAATAGTTCCATTTGCTTTACAGAAACCCAGAACATGAGCCACTGCTGGACTTAGCCTTGTGTTTGGAGTGTATGACATAGGTCTGAAGTTTTATGAGGTGTATATGCTATGATTAACCTGTTTTGTTCTTTTAACAAAATAATTCCATCCATTTCACTTTGCTTCAATCTTTAAATAACAGAAAAGCAATATAAAGGTCATAGAATAAAATGTGGTTTTGGGTGACTCTTGCTGCCTCTGCATGTTTTAGAATAACAATTTCTGTAAGATTCTAGGCTATTTAAACTAGTGTTTTCACTTAAGATATTATTTAGTCATTTTTAATATACATTTTGTGCTTCTGAGTTAGGGATGTCAATAGTTGTCTGGTTCTTCTAAGAAGAAAAGCAAGTTTGAAACTAGGTTACTTTTTTCTGCCCCACTTGCCATGGAACACAGACACAGAATGTGACCTCAAATTATTAGCCAGATTTAATATTTGATCTAAAGCAGATCCTTGTACTTATGTTTAAATTGGAATTGGAGTCATCTAACAATGAGCTCCCACTGTGTTCCAGGCTCTGTACAGTGTGTCCACAAAATATGATTTCCTGGCAGGATTTTTTAGGTTCAAGGAATCAATTGAATATCCATCTGTATCATGTTGTTGACAATGCAAATTGTTAGAAAAAATGTTAGTGAGAAAGTGATACCTTTTGTAACCTGGTGTGTCTTTATCACTCCTGTAAGATTTGATGAAACTAAAAAGCAAATGTCAGCCGAGTCCAATGAAGAGCAATAAAACAGGGAGCAACATTTGTAACTTTTTATATTTGGCTTCAGTATTCAGTAGAGCTTTATGAAATGTAAGTAAGTTACAGTACTGGAGCTTTGACTAGTTCAATAGGAACTTGCAGGGGAAGATCACTGGATTGTAGAAAATTACACACTTCTTTGTTGTTTAAGTACTGGTGATAGCTAAGCACCTGATGAAGTGGCTGACCTCTAATGACATTGTTTGGGGTACCTGCCTGACTCACACTTACCCTTTTTAACTCCTGCAGGAGTAGAGACCGTGTTGATACAACACTGACCTTTTCCTTCCCCTCATCCTTTCCCCCACATACCAGCTGATTAAACCAGGATTGAATTCCTGATCCAAACAAGCTCAAGAAATTTTTTATCTTAAGAATTTTGCAGGAGGGAGGAGGAATACCAGACACCATCTCGAATGGTGGCTCAGCTGGGTCACTTAAAAAGTTAGGACTCCTGATCCAGCACTACATGGACAAGCAGAAAGGTTTAGAAGTAGAAATACATGAGAGAAGGTACATCAGAAAGAGCAGCTGCCTTAGTAGCCCTGAATATTTTGCTGGTTTCTGGATCTAGCCTTGCATCCTTGTGTGGACTCCATTAATCCCTTGGGTAGCCTTAGAATGAAATTTGGCTTTTAAAAATCGGTCTAAAGTGAGTTTTTATTACATGCAACCAAAAGGACCTTGACTAAAATACTACCAGACTGCTCTCATTACTAATGCTCATGTGTGCTCAGTACCACTGAATTCTAGAGAAGTTTTCTTTAGTAAACTTTCCTCATTTTGTGTATTCTCTCAAAACGGAATCCTAAGCTAATGGAACTAAAAGACACTCCCTCACTTTTACAAGGAGAAGTTACTCAGACAAAGGAAAAGGGTAGGTCCTTGCCCTGTTGTGGGATGGTCACCATTAGAACTCAGGCCTTCTGGACCAGGGCCTTCTCACCCTTCCCAACACCCTTCTAAAGGACAAACACCATCCCCGCTTACAGCAACTATAATAAACCCAGAAATAGAGGACATGTCTACTAGTGAGTAACTGATATCAGCTGAAAATGTTGGAGGGCAATAATTAGAAAAATTTGTAAATGACCACTTCTGTGTACTAGCAAGGTCTCTGGCCATTGGCTGAGTGGAAGAAAATCCCAGCAAAACCCTTCAAGGTTACAACTTAGGAGACGCACACTAATAGTTACCCTATGAGGCCTTTTACAGGTGAGCACTGTGGGCACATAGGAGGCCTCTACTTGGTCAGGATTGGGAATGGCTCAGATAGGAAGTATGGTACTGTAAGTATGGTACCGAAATGGCACTGGAGGGACCAGTATGAGCAAAGGTCCAGGGGTCCTTTATATTCAGAGAGAGAAGTCTGTCTGCTTTCCTGTCACATAGGGCGGTATTTCTGCCTTAGTAATTTTATGCAAATGTTTCCTCAATCTGTTACCTTCAGACCACCTACTCACACACAACTCACCTGGAATAATTAAGCCCCTTGCCTAAGGGTGGTAGTGTATCCACCACCGCCAGGCATCACTGAGGCGCCGATAGGACTGCTCCTTAGCTGTATACCAAGTAGCACTTGCAAGCCCAGGCTGGGCAGCCGGGCCCTTTGAGCTCAGCCTGTGGTGGGTGGGCAAGGTGCCTAGAAAGAGCAGACAAGTTCAGCCGGATGGGAGCTGGGATTTGCCAAAAAGGAAATAGAGAATTGTGATGACTGGCATTTTCCCCATCTTCAGATATCCGAGTCCCCTATCTTGAATGTACCTTTAGGCCACACCTCTAAATGATCCCAAGCTGGCCTTTGCCTACATCACGGTAAGAATCTCACATGCCATACATGTCTTGAAAAAGGCTGTAGCTGTAAAGCACTTTGGGCCTCCAGACTAGTGTAGCTCTTGGTAGGGGCCCAGCCTTAGAGGCTCACCGAAGTTCAAGAGCTTCATCCACACCTTAAGTTTGGCAAAGAGCATCTCGACAAAGAGCAATCTTTGTTTCTTCCAATTACATAACTACTGGTTTATCAAATGTTCACTTAGATGTATTTTAATACCTACTAAATGCCAGGCACTTATGGTGCAAGGACACAGGAATAAAACTCTGAGCTCCTTGGAGCTTCCATTCAACTGAGGAGGAGATAAAAGTTGGAAGTTTCATCTAAAATATGTGCTGATATTTTTGACACAAGATGACCTTTGTGATTCAAAACCCTTTCCTTCCAAAGTCCTACCGGAAGTTATCAAGCTTTCCGGACCCATAGGGAGAAGGCCCACAGGGAGAGGGGTCACCTTTCTGTGACCTCTCACCTCACCCTTTTGTGAGCACTTTCCTTCCAGAGCCCTTCGAGGACCCATTGCTGTGCTATTCCATTTACTCACCACAAGACTAGACATACTTAGGTGTTGAGTACCTGGTTGACAATAGGGTGGACATCTTGAGGTCTGAGGCCATCAAGGAAAGTTTCTCTCTAAATAAGATAAGGCTTAAAAATGCACAGAGTCAGTCTCAGCCCTGTGGGGCTCTCCAGAACTTTGGGAAATGTGAATTCTTAGAAACTAGGAACAAGACTAGTTTGAAGTTATTCCATGCATGTGATACAGAATCTCAATCTTGGAAAAACCTAGCTAGCCACCAAGCTGATTCAGTGAGGTCATTAGCTGCTTCTTAGTTCTACTTTAATGATAATAATAACCAGCATCATTGAGTATTTACTGTGTGCCAGGCACCATCTCATTCGATCCCTATGACAGTCTTAAAATAGTACTTTTCCATGAGACTGAACTTAAGAGGTAAAGGAATTTCTCCAGGGTCTCACAGCCAGAAATCAAATCCAGGCAGCAAGAGTGCCCTCTTCCTCTGCTATGCTCAACTTGGTGGTGGTTCTCTCATTTTGCTGCTTATTGGTACCCACTAAAAACTAGTACAGCAGATGTCAAAGGTTTAAGAAAAACTTAGGGGATTGTAGCTTTAAAATTAAAAACGTTCTATCCATTACCTTAAAGCAGTAGTTCTTAAACTTTCACGTGCATCATGATCCCCTGGAGAACTTGTTAAAACATGTATTGCTGAACCAAATCCCCAGAGTTTTAGTAGGATTTTAGTGGGCCTAAGAATTTGCATTTTTAACAGATTCTCAGATGATGCTACTGCTGCTCCAGAGACTGCACTTTTGAGAATCACTGCCTTAAAATCTTTCCTGTAAATTGGGCAATGAATTTTTTTATTTTTTTCATTGGAAATGCCCATGCTACACAAACGTAATTTGAAACCTATTACTCATGATTCACTCAAACAATAAATTCTTTATTAGCATTCAGATGTTTATCAAAGCCAAGAACACCCAAACCACACTGAGACCATGGAGGCAAGTCTCTCCCACTGGGGTAGGCTTAGAAGAAGCCACAGACCAGTCTCAGCCCCACAGTCTTCAGCTCCCTGGCCCTCAGTGCCTTTGCTGGGAGCAGTGCACCTGACATATTCTTCCAGGGCCAAGACTTTAGGCTGTTGGAATCACACCTATGGTTCCAGTGGAACCTATTGCACAAATGCTATCTGGTCCATTTCCTTCCAGCTTTTCTCCTAGTCTTTGATGCCAACTCTCTCTGAAGTCCTAACCATGCCTTTCCTGACCTCTCTCTTCCTGCTGTTGTTTCAGGTCTCTTCCATAAGCCACTGATATCTCATTCTTTCTTCCCTTTCTCACTTCTCCCTCTCTGTTTCTTCCTTCAGCACGTATTTCCTAAGGGTCTGTTTTATGCCTGTTCTACTTGCTGAGAATACAGCAGTACCAAGGATAAATATACTGCCTATCCTCCTTGCAGTCTAGAAAACAATGACAAGTTCATGTGATGAGTGTTATGGGTGTAAGCAAAGGAACTATTTGGAGGGTGGGGGGTGCAAAATCTAGGTGGACCCCCCTTTTGTAATCCACAGACTTCTTGATCATCTCAGTCTTTCTTTCCCTCAGGATAGCATAATTTCTTCATATTCCTGACACATGCAGACCACTCCCACTCAACTGGACCAGGTCTTTGTCTCAGCATTGATCATGACCACCTACTCTGGCCAGTGCTACTTCCATATCCTTGCTCCACTTCCTCCATTGCTACCTAGGGAGGCTATTTTTTCATCTCTGCCACCTACCCAGCTCCAAGACACTCCTAACTATCTTTCTCCAGGTCTTTGATGTACCGCTCACAGCTTTTGTCACTCATTCTCAGCCCAGGAAACTTCACTGTCCATCATGATGATCCACCCAACAACCCAACCTAGAGCTCTTTGTCTTTTTCTGTTCCCCAAAACATCGTACTCTTCAGTTACACCTATAACCAGATTTTGTCGTCTCCTGCAACTGTTCTACCTCTGGTTTTTCTTCACATTTTAGCCTGCAACAACCTCCAATGATGCAAGTTTTGTTTGGTTATAGATTGCTCC